CTCCACCCATTCTCTCACTCCCCCCACATGGCAGCCATCTTTAAATCTTGAAGTTCCTAGTGGCTTCTACGGAAAGAAGCTGGGAACATTCATGCAGGCTTTGCTACAAATATATATTTAAATGAGCTTTCTATGCAGCTGAACTGCAATATGTAGATGGGGCATTGTGTGGGTGTGGCTTGAATGTGGGCAGGGGCACAATGGGCCCCATGATCTCATATTGCCGGGTGGCCCCATAAGTTGTCAGTCTGTCCCTGCTTGACCCTTCCTCACAGATTGTAAGCTCTAATGAGCTCCTGTATTGTATTGTAATTTGTACTGTCTGCCCTCATGTTGTAAAGTGCTGCATAAGCTATTGTGCTATATAAATCCTGAAAAATAATAATAATGATATAGCTAAGTGTGATTGTTTATCCCCCCCCCCCTATTCATTATTGACAGATTTATAGAATACAGGTAGTACTCATTAAGCTAGCCATATACCAGTAGAATTTTGTTTGAAAATATTCGATTTCAGAATGCTCTTTCAATTTTCTAATGGTTAGTGGGGTCAAATCAGCATTTGTTTTGCACTGTAGTGACAAAAAAATTTGAAGACGCAGTTGAAAAATTTTTCTTGAACAAAGGTAATTCCAATTGTGAATGTGGTTTTCGTTTGGGAAAAATCATACATGTTGAAATGAAACCTGTTTTGGGATTCCATTCAAATAGCAGGTCTGGATGAAATTTGTGATGAAAATTAGTTGACTAAATGGAAAGAAAGAATTCACTGAAGAATATTTTTTTCAGAATTTCCATGCAAGCATTTGAATGAAAATATAAATGTGTATGGCCAGCTTTAGACTAGATCAGGAAGTGAGGGGCAATTGCCTTAAGTGAGACACAGCAATAAATATCTGACAAAGGTTATTAGCTTTTTGCTTATGCACTAGCTAATTTAGATGGACTTAACTAAAATAATAAAGCTGAACTTCAGCTAACACTGTATATGCAGTTATAGCAACAGTTTTTTTTCCTTTTGAAAATAAGGTTTTACATAAATGAATAAAAGCTGACCATTGTAAGCACCCGTCAGCGATAAATGGAATGTCTCAACCCTCTATCTTCCACTTTTGATGAACTGCTTGTTCTGTTAAAGGAAGTTGAAAAACAACAGACTTAATGGCCAGATTACCAGTTGAAAATAAAAGAAAGAAGCCTAAAAAGAAAACGAAGGCATGCACTACATCTAAGGATTGGTAAGCTGCAATAAAATACAGTTATGTTTTTAGGTTTAAAGCTTTGAGAAACCCAAAAGCAAACATTTATGATGTTATAGTTTACCAGTTCTTAGATGTGATGGCTTTATTAATTTTTTATGATTTCTTTCATCTATTTTCATCAAATGATCTAGTCAGCAGGTCTGTTGTTTTCATGTTTTCTTCTCTAGGACTTCCCCCATCCTCTGGAACTCCCTACCCCAATCCATCAGACTGTCACCCACCCTCCCCACCTTCAGGCGCACCCTGAAAACCCTCCTCTTCAGGGAAGCCTACCCCAAACTCACCTAACATCTGACCTCACCTAACAACCTCCACCACTCCTCCCACCACTCCATCCCCCCCACAGCCATCTCCTCCTGTATCACCTTCCCCTCCCTCCTAGATTGTAAGCTCGAAAGAGCAGGGCCCTCGAACCCCTCGTGCACTGTTTTGTTACTGTCTCGTCTCATGTTCTGTCCCCCTTGCTACTGTACAGCGCTGAGCATACCCTTTGGCGCTATATAAATACTGTATATTAATAATAATAATAAAGAACAAGCTCACCAGAAGAATGTATCAGTTTGGATGGAACAAACCATTTACCACTGACAAAAGTTGCTTTTATTTATTTATGTAAAACTTTTATTCCAAAGGGAAAAACAATGCTGTAAATGATTATAAAGTGTGAGCAGGAGTTTGGCTTCAGTTTTAGTGTATTTAAATCTGCTAACACATTTATCATTTCCCTCCTGACAATGCTGCTGTCTGCTTTACCTTTGGTGCTCACTCATCCAGAGTTTTATCTCATTAATACAGGAGGTTTGTTACTGGCCAGATCACCAGGTGAAAACAGAAAGAAAAAAACATCTAAAAAAAAAAAAAAACGAATGCAGCCACCACATCTAATGATTGGTAAGCTGCAATATATTACATCTTTGGTTTGGGGTTTAATACCACTTTATTGCTGCTTTAAAGTGATAGTAAACTCATCTTAAATACTTTTACCTGCAGGTAAGCTTATAATAAAACTTACCTGTAGGTAAAATCAGGGGCGGACTGACCATTCGAGAACTCGGGCACTGCCTGAGGGCCCGGGTCAGTAGGGGGCCCCATGAAATGCCTTTTATAGGCTTTTTGGATGTGTTTTGAGTGTGGGCAAGGGCAAAGGGGCCCCATGATCCCCTATTGCCTGGGGGCCCCATGAGTTCTCAGTCCGCCCCTGGGTAAAATTAATATCTCCTAAACATGAACCGTTTAGGAGATATTAGCCCTATTTGATATCTGGCGCATGTGCTCTGAAGGAACAGCTTACTCGTGCCATTCCTTCAGAGCACTGTGCCATGGCAGTGACGTCATCGTGGCTCAGCCAGTCAGCCGGCCAGAGCTTGCGAACCCGGAACACTGGGTGAAGATGGAAGCCACGGGGAGCCGTGACAGCACTCTGCTGGAGAGCTTTGTTTCAAGGTAAGTCCTTCATAATGTGCTAGTATGCAACGCACACTAGCACATTATGCCTTTACCTTGCAGGGGTTTTTTGTTTCTTTTTTTTTGGATGCGGATTACTACAGCTTTAATTCTGGGTCCCCACTGCTGCAAGGTAAGAGTACTAGCTACTTAGAAAATACAAACCTTCCGCTATTATTCCATTTGTGATCTACCTACTATCTGAAAAGGATATAATATCAAATAAAATAAACTCAGATAACAAAGTAATAACACATGGATAAAGATCTTTATTTTCAGCCATGTGATCTGTAATTTTCAATTCTTGCTGGACTCAGCTTAAATTACTTGTCACTTTTTTTCTATAATTAGATTGTAAGCTCTCAGAAGCAGGGCCCTCCTAACTCTCCTGTATTGAATTGTATTGTTACTGTGCTATCTTCCTTTATATTGTAAAGCACTGTGCACACCTTTGGCACTATATAAATCCTAAATTATAATAATAAATATAATAACAGTGATTATTAATATGGAGTATTCGTGTTTATTAGTTATTTGTAAAATCACATATCTACTTAGAACTGGGTTTCTCAACCAGGGTTCCATGGACCCACAGGGTTCATTCAGAGGTTGCTAGGGGTACCTAGGAGTAATGAGGAATTTATGTTTCATAAATGGGTTCCCACTGACACCATTGATCTTTTTAGCTATCTATAAAGGGGTAATTCTTCCCAGTGACCACAAGTGTAAGGAGCATTCTTCCCACTGACCACCACACTACTATATCATGAGTTGTCATTTTGTAGCAGGGGTTTCCTGGGAACGGAAAGTTATTTCAAGGGTCCCTCTGTGTTGGAAAGGCTGACTTAGAAACTCAGCTGTGCTGGAAAGATGTACAAAAATCTACCTCCAGAGGGCAGAATAGCCTCTCTGTAGGCTGAGAAATCTACAAACTTGAAAAAGGTATTTTATATAGTTTTTGATGACATTGCCAAACATGTGTATTGGATATATGGATAAAAACAAAAGTGTGCATGCAGTCACTGAGGTAGCCTGTTAGCATAAGGTGCGTACATACTTCATCACATGCAGAGGTGGTCTCAAGACAGATGACACAGAAACACAGCCTTGGGGCTACTCATGTCTCAAAGGCTTGAAATGTCTGGTCTCGTTTTATTTTTCTCCTCTGTTACTTTAACTTCCCAAACACCTGGAAAAGAATCAGGCACCTGGGTGCTCCAGACAGAATCCAACAAGCCTTCATGGTGGGATTTGACAAGGAATTCCCTGCAGATCCCCTGACTGTTAAAGACTGTTCCTTTTTCGTTCAGGCTTGTTACCATTTTCAAAGGATCTAAAATCTGAGAAGGGAATTATCGCACTCTAGGGGTCACTCACTAAAGGAATCATTTTTTTTTCTTTCTTCAGGAAACCTATGTTAACTTCAAATGTAAAGGAGTGTTTAGTGAAAATTCCTCATTTTTTATTTTTCTACACATGGATGTTGGAAATTACTTTAGTGAACACTCCCTACCCTATACAGGGGCGTCATGGAATAAAGGTCCTGACCTGGTCTGTCTTTACAAGGTACATATACATAGGAGCCTTCCGAACAGTGCCCTATTATTTTTAACACCCAGTTTTAGTAACTTTCAGCATAGTTTCCCACTAAGAAATTTACATATTTTACTTGAGAAGTTGAAAAAATAAGCTTTACCCCTAAAGAAACTTTCTTGAGTACATCAGAAACTCTGCTCATCATGACTTATTACAGTAATAATAATTTTTGTCTGCCCTACAACAATACACATGAAATTTATACAGGAGCTCTGTTAATGTGATAAAGTTAGAAATGGTATGCTTGTCAATGATTAAAAAAAAATAGATTTTCTTGTTTTCCTCTATTACTAATAATTCCTGTTAGTGTTACCTCTGTTAGATGTTAAAATTAGTCATCTCTTTAATTAAAACATTTTGATAAAACAACTAAGCAATGCATGACAATCTATATAAAAGCAGCAAGACAAGGCAGTTATCTTCAAAATAATACAATATGCAGTTTTATTAATTACAAGTAAAACTTCCAGAATAGGAAGAAATGTATAAGAGCACATTTGTATGTCTTTGGCATCATAACAATTTCGAACACAAACGAAATATAAGTTGCAATCTTATTATACAACAGCGCATTCAATATGAATATCTGCTATTTACAAACATAATAGTGCATTCTCGCTACAAAATGAGGACTTCCTATTTGTAACTAGTTGTCTTTCTAAATGAAAGTTGTCCGATACAGTCCTTGGTACAGTCCAGTTACCAGGGTCTCCATACAGAGTCTGCAGTGACTGATGGCATGATGGAAGGAGACATGGCAGCTGGCACTCCATTGCTCACACTGGAGTTTGTGTAGACAGGGATGACAGGTCCGTTGTGTGGGAAGGCTGGATTGGTGATAAGAAAGGCAAATTGTCCATCTGAAGCTGGCACTAGCTGAAAGCCACCATAGACCTTGGCATTTTCTACTGGCGGGCCACCCTTCTTGCAGGAAACCCCACCCATGGGAGCGGGACTGCTCTGCGGGCCGCTTGCAGGAAGCTGGACCAACGGCTGGCCAAACGCAGGGTGAGAGTTGGCGACAGCAGGCGGAATTTGGGGCTGGGCAGGGTAATTCATGGCATTGATCTGATTCATGCAGTTGGCTAGATGTCCCAGGAGTCGGGTCCGGACGTCGGTGTTGACTCCTTCACAAGTAGACAGGAATCGGGTGACTTCGTTCATGCACTCGCTGAATCCAGCTCTGTATTTGCCCAGAACAGTGGGGTCTGTGCTGAGAGCAGCTGTAAAGGAAAAAGGACACACAATGACATCACTGAAAACTAGACAGACCCACACTACAGGGTTAATGCCGTACACAACCTCACTAGAACTAGAAGTTTAGTAAATGCAGAACTCAGGTTCATCTCCTAGATTGTAAGCTCTAACGAGCAGGGCCCTCTGTTTCCTCTTGTACCAAATTGTAATGTCTACCTTCATTTTGTAAAGTGTTGTGCAAACTGTTGGCACCATATAAATCCTGTATAATAATAATAATAAATTCCCATTGTAATGTACAGCGCTGAGCGAACTGTTGGCGCTTTATAAATACTGTATAATAATAATAATTAAAATATAAACTATATGTGCTCAGGTCACTTATCTGCATCCTGTAGATCCTAGAGCTGGCTGAGGATCCCCTCCTCCCCCTCCCCAGCAGTAACATGAGCTCCACGTAGAAACTATAAATAAGCCCAGACCGTGGGAAAGGCAGTGAAAGCCAGCCCAGTAGAATGTATCTGAATGCCATTCAAACCGCAGGCGGAAGTCTGGAAGAGATCAGCCAGAAAGGGAAGGAGGAAGGGGGGGGGGGGTAGTACTCACCAGTCATCTGAACTCTCTGCAAGTTCCGGAGGTGCTTCACTGTCATCTCCAAAATATCAGCCTTCTCCAGCTTCGAGTGCCTGGAGCTCTGAAAAGCAAATCCCACATTTAATTCTCAGCTCAGCATGTCACATTATCAGCCAAGTGTTACAGAATGTACCAACTGTATGAACGAATACTAATATTTATCCCTAGTGCCTGACATAAGAGATAAATATTTGGCACCAGAGCAAGTCTTGTAGTATTAGGAATAATAATAACAAGTAATAATAACAAGTAATAATCGCTGTATAAGTAATAATAATAATGAAGAATTGCAGTGCAGTAGACAATGTAGTGTGGGTGTGTGCAGTCCAATGCAGTGAATGGCTAGGCACACTTACATCTTTCTTCAAGGCATCCAGAATGAGGGTTTTCAGTTGGCTCAGGCTCTCATTAATTCTGGCTCTTCTCCTTTTCTCCATGATGGGTTTGGATGACTGTAAACAAGAGGCACACAGTCAGTGTGATCATGGTTGGTACTTGTCTATGACCTGAGCCATGACATCTATATGATCATCATCATCATCATGCCTGTCCAGGCTCTATTTACCTTTCTGTGCTCAGAAGCAGTTTTGGGTTTATCCGGAGTAGATGTCATGCTGGCTGGGGTGGCAGCCACAGGGGAAGAAGAGTTTTTCTCCATCATGTCAGCTGGCATCTTGTGGATCCCCCCAATGTATTCCCAGGAGAAGCTGTAATAGTCCGCTATGTGTCAGAGCAAAGGGCAGGGATCCAGGAATAGAGCGCAGTGTCCGGAGAGATGAGTACAGCTCTGCCTCCGCCTGGCCGCCTGCCTGATCCTAGTCAGTGCCCTCCGCTTGGCTCCGGCTTTATATACCGCTCACAGCACGCGAATGCCGAGTGTGAAACTTCCAAATGTCATTGGTTGAAAGGGGGGCACAGGGGCCAATGATAAGACCTGGAGGGAGTGAAGGGCGGGGTTCTGAGTGCAGCCTGTCATTCAAGAGTAATGCTTTTTAACTCCTTGTAGGCACGTTGCCACTTTCCTAAAGAGCCTCACCTCTCACAAGGCTCGTGTGTATCCAGGGGGCAGGGTCTACATTCATGAAGAATTGTGTCATATCGACGTCATGTTATCTGCATAGAACTGTCTGATGTCCAACTCTGGGACTTTTTCAACAAATATATTTAGCAAAAAAAAAGTTAAAAAAATAATATATATATATATATATATATATTTTTTTTTTAACGACAGATAATTTGTTTCTGTCCATGTGTATTTAACTGGTAAAGTAATAATTACTATTATATTATTATACAGGATTTATATAGTGCCAACAGTTTGCTCAGCACTTTACAATATAAAAGGAGACAATACAGCAACAATACAGTTCAATACAAGAGGGTTAGGAGGGCTCTGCTCCTTGGAGCTTACAATCTAAAAGATAATAAGTGTTTCACAGAAAAATATGTTTTATTAGAATCAGTTTTTTTCAAATTGTCCAGTCATTTAATTTACTTGACAATTATTTTAGCAAAAGCATTCAACAAATGAGTAGCAGTATTGTCCAGAATCATGTTAGGTAAGGTAATTTTATATACAATATATATATTTTATAAGAGAGAAAGAAAGAGAGGAAGAGAGAGAGGGGGGGGTAGAGGTAAGGTCATTTTATATACAATATATACATTTTATAAGAGAGAGGAGAGAGTGAAAGAGAGGGAGAGGGATAGAGAAAGAGAGAGGGGGGGAGAGGTAATGTCCTTTTATATACAATATACACATTTTATAAGAGAGATGACAGAAAAATTGAGAGAGGAGGAGAAAGAGAGAGAGGGGGAGAAAGGCAAGGTAATTTTATATACAATATATATATATATATATATATATATATATATATAGAGAGAGAGATGAGAGAGCGAAAGAGAGGGAGTGGGATAGAGAGGGGGGGGGGGGGGGGTAAGGTCATTTTATATACAATATATACATTTATAAGAGAGAGATGAGAGAGCGAAAGAGAGGGAGAGAGGGGGGGGGAGGTAAGGTAATTTTATATACAATATATACATTTTATAAGAGAGAGCTGACAAAAAAAGAGAGATGGGGGGGAAAGAGAGTGAGAGAGAGAGAGAGAGAGAGAGGGAGGGGGGGAGGGGGAGGTAAGGTAATTTTATATACAATATATACATTTATAAGCAAGAGATGAGAGAGCGAAAGAGAGGGAGGGGGGGGGGGGAGAAGTAAGGTAAATTTATATATAAAAATATATACATTTATAAGTGAGAGACGAGAGAGTGAAAGAGAGGGGGGGAGAGAGAGGGGGGGAGGGGGGACAGACGTAAGTTCATTTTATATACAATATATACATTTTATAAGAGAGAGTTGACAGAAAAAGAGAGAGATAGGGGGAGAGAGAGAGAGAGAAATGGGGGAAGTAAGGTAAGGTAATTTTATAACAATATATACATTTATAAGAGAGAGAGATAATAGAGCGAAAGAGAGGGGGGGAGGGGGGGGGGGGGGGGGTAAGGTCATGTTATATACAATATATACATTTTATAAGAGAGAGATGACAGAAAAAGAGAGAGAGGGGGAAAAAGAGAGAGAGAGAGAAAGGGGGGAGAGAGAGGTAAGGTAATTTTGTATACAATATATACATTTATAAGAGAGAGATAATAGAGCGAAAGAGAGGGAGAGAGAGAGGGGGGGGGAGAGGTAAGGTCATTTCATATACAATATATACATTTATAAGACAGATGAGAGAGCGAAAGAGAGGGAGAGGGAGAGAGAGAGGGGGGGGAGAGAGAAGAAGAAGAGAGAAGTTCATGTTCTGCTGTCAGAATACGATAGCTCTGTGGTTAGGATCCCCTCATCTACCTCCAATAAGTGGATAGGGGAATCAGTTTGTTTGTTTTTCTTTTTTTTTGATCAGCAGCCTGGCTGATTAACCACTTGACTTCCTGAGGATTTAGAACCCCCCCCCCCTTTTTGTTGTCATTTTCCAAAAAACTTGTGGTAAAAAAATAAATTCTTCTATTGACTCAACATGCCTCTCAGCAAATAGTTTGGGGTGTCTACTTTCCAAAAAGGGGTCATTTTGGGGGGTGGGGGCATTCTATGCCCAGCATTAGAAGTTTATGTCACACATCACTCACTCTTCTAACCACCTGAAGATCAAGCCTTTTCTGACACTTTTTGTTTCCATGAAAATAATCAGTATTTTTTGCTAGTAAATTACTTTGAACCCCCAAACATTATATATTTTTTTAAAGCAGACACGCTAGTGAATAAAATGGTGGGTGCTGCAATTTTTTATGTCACATAGTACTCGCACAGCGATTTTTCAAACGCAAATGTTTTGCAAAAAGTACACTTTGTTTACTTTTAATGCACAAAAACACTATATATTGGCCAATTATTTGGTAAAATATAAAAGATGATGGTTTGCAGAGTAAATGGATACCAAACATGACATGCTTTAAAACTGCGCATGCCCTGTGCAAAGGCGACAAACTGCATACATTTTTTAATATCTATAGACAACGCTTTAAAAGCCTTTACAAGCTACCATTTTAGATTTACAGAGGAGGTCTAGTGCTAGAATTACTGCCCTTGATCTGACGTTCACTGCGATACCTCACATGCAAGGTGCAACCGCTGTTTACATACCAGCACAGGGTCAACGCTTGCGTATGCAGGTGGGGGGCAAGGGTGCTTTTTTTTTAAGTTATTTTGATTTTTTAAATTATTTTTACACTGTGCCTTTCATGTTTTTTTTAAATCACTTTTAATGCTATCACAGGGAATGCAAATATTCCCTGTAACTTCAATGGGCATTGTCAAATATTCTTTTTTGAGAAATTTGGGGTCTATCAGACTCTAGATCTCTCCTCTGCCCTTACATTATCTAATCTCACCAAGATCGGTGTGATCAGATGCTTTCCCAATTTACAAATGGTGATGTTTATATCCTGTTAAACTGAAGTGATGAAATGCTTGCAGCTTCCGATTTTCTTAGACTATAGAGATGATTGGCACCATTCTGGTCTCATCTAATCTCTATGGTCACCTGGCAGAAACAGCGTAAATGTGATTACTGGTGTACTGACGGGCAATCTGACGTTATCTGGGGCGGGGCACTAACTGACGCTAACACTATCTGAAGTCGCCGGCGACACTAATACAGTGACCAGCAAAAAATCTGTACACTGTACTAATGACACTGGTGACAGGGCAGTGAAGGGATTATTTGGGGGGGCATCAAGGGGTTAAATGTGTCCTAAAATGTTCTGTGAAAAGTGTGCTGCTTGTACTCACTGTGTCTTGATTCCTCTCTCTCTGGGATGGAATGTGCCCAGAGAGAGAATATGTTATCACTTCCTGTACCTGTGTAAGTGTAAACACAGGTACAGGAAGATCCCTGATAGGACAAGGATCAATCAACCAACTTAGGCATCACTGGCCTAAATCGGATGATTGATCCCTTGGGGATCAAATCACAGCATGGCACATGAAAACTGCGGGAGCGCAAATCACATTTACAGTATATACGTGATTTTGCGCACTAGTGCCACCCCATAGCAGTATTAGTGCTATAGGGCGGCGCGGAAGTGGTTAAGAAAAAAAGCATCTATGGCTATCTTTAGGCAAAGACATCAGTTGTCAATGTGCGCATTTCCTTTTGTGCATTGACATGCGGATTGGTGTGCATTGACATACATTTTTTTCTGTGTTTTTCACTTTAGGGATCACATTGGATGGAGTTAACAGCTAACTCCTTATGCCAATACATTAAAACTCAAGTTACACTACTATTGACTTTGATGGGCCTCCCAACACACTAAAATGCAAAAAAATCCCAGACATGTTGCATGTTTAAAAAGGCACTGCTGAGTTGTGAACAGACACTGGGGTTGATTTACTAAAAGCAAATAGACTGTGCACTTTTGTAAGTACAGTTGCTCCAGAACTTAATACATGAGGCAAAGCTTCACTTTGCAAAGAATACCCAATCACATGCAAAGAAAAAAACAGAAAGAAAACAGCATTGTTGCATGCACATGATTGCATGATGGAAGTCAGCAGAGTGTTTGCCTATTTACTGAGTTCTGGAGCAACTGCACTTGCAGAGTGCAACTGCACCTTCAAAAGTGCACAGTCTATTTACCTTCAGTAAATCAACCCCACTGTCTTTGTTATGGAGAAGCTAGACACCTGCATTTTAGCACATTGCATTGCATGCATTAAAATGAAATATTGTAAATGAGCCCATATACACAGCACATGCACCACAATCTGATTGTACAATCTCTTTTAGAGCTACCAACAAGTTTGGAGTGCAAGAGCTTGCCTGATTGAGTATACTGTAAATTCGTTGGATAGTTTAGGTAGGTCCTCCTACCACATAATTTTACTATATCTCAGCTTTATGGAATAGAGCAGGCTCCAACCTTTCTAAACAAAAGGGCCAATTTACTGTCCTTCCGACTTAAGGGGTGTTAGACTGTGTTCATTGGGAGTACAAAAAGTCCCAATGTCAGTGGGAATGAACAATGCCCTATCTTTGGTGTTAGTGGGAGGAATAGTGCCCTATCTTTGATGTCAGTGGGAGGAATAGAACCCCATCATTGGTGTCAATGGAAGGAACTGTGCTCCATCTTTGGTATTATTGGGCCCCATTGTTGGTTTCATTGGAAAGAATTGTGCCCCATCTTTAGTTTCATTGGGAGGAACTGTGCCCTTTCTTTGGTGTCATTGGAAGGAATTGTTCCACATATTTGATGTCATTGGGAGGAATTGTACCCCATCCTTGGCATCATTGGGAAGCCCCTTCATTGATGTCAGTGGGGGGAAATTATATCTTATTGTTGGTATTAGTGGATGAAAATAGTGTCCCAAGGGCTGGATAAAAGCAAGCAAAGGGCCACATTTGGTCCCCAGGCTGCAGTTTGGAGACCACTGGTATAAAGGGTGTACGGTCAGATTGTGCGTATATGGTGTGACTTGTGGCAGCCATTTACTCTGTTATAGTTACACAGTTCAGGAGTCTTTGGAATATAATATCCATCAAATGAGCTAATCTGGAGCAGAAGTGGATCTGTAATGGTGTGCTCTGATCAATACCCAAGGCCGAGGGTCTCATCAATAGTCTTCTAGCACAGGAGCTGTCAGATCACTGACTCCTGCAGTACATGTATTATCATTTATAATCTGATCAATCTACAGAATGCTGCTACACTATGAATGTGCTAGATGTGTTAACCAAATAATTGTATCAACTACGGTATGTTAATATATTTATATATATTTATTTTACATCTTAATTGCATATACAGTATCTCATAGAAGTGAATAAACCCTTCACATTTTTGTAAATATTTTATTCTATCTTTTCATGTGACAATACTGAATAAATGACACTTTGCTACAATGTAAAGTAGTGAGTGCACAGCTTGTATAACAGTGTACATATGCTGTCCCCTCAAAATAACTCAACACACAGCCATTAATGTCTAAACTGCTGGCAACAAAATGAGTACACCCCTAAGTGAAAATGTCTAAATTCGGCCCAATTAGCCATTTTGGAGGAGTGGAAGGGACTCCAGTGGCAACCTGAGAAGCTCTGGTGAACTCCATGCCCAAGAGGGTTAAGGCAGTGCTGAAAAATAATGGTGACACAAAAAATATTGGGCCCAATTTGGACATTTTCACTTAGGGGTGTACTCACATTTGCTGCCAGCGGTTTAGACATTAATGGCTGTGTGTTATTTTGAGGGGACAGCAAATTTACACTGTTCTACAAGCTATACACTCACTACTTTACATTGTAGCAAAGTGTAATGTATTCAGTGTTGTCACATGAAAAGATAAAATAAAATATTTACAAATATGTGAGGGGTGTACTCACTTCTGTGAGATACTGTACATATTGAGATCTTAATATATGAACACTATATTGACAAAAGTATTGAGACACCCCTCCAAATCATTGGATTCAGGGGTTCCAATCTCTTCCATGGCCATAGGTGTATAAAATCAAGCACCTAGGCATGCAGACTGCTTCTACAAACATTTGTGAAAGAATGGATCACTGTCAGGAGCTCAGTGAATTCAAGAATGGTACCGGGATAGGTTGCCACCTGTGCAATAAGTCCTCTGTGACATTTCCTTGCTTTTAAATATTTCACAGTCAACTGTTAGTGGTATTATAACAAAGTGGAAGCAACTGGGAACAACAGCAACTCAGCCACGAAGTGGTAGGCCACGTAAAATGACAGAGTGGGGTCAGCACATGCTGAAGCGCACAATGTGCAGAAGATGCCAACTGTCTCCAGAGTCAATAGCTAAAGACCTCCAAACTTCCTGTGGCCTTCAGATTAGCACAAGAACAGTGTGTAGAGATCTTCATGGAATGGGTTCCCATCAGGGGCGGACTGACAACTCATGGGGCCCCCGGGCAATAGGGGATCATGGGGCCCCTGTGTCCTTGCCCAAACTCAAAAAATGCTATGAAAAAGGTACCAGGGGCATCTCATGGGGCCCCCTACAGACCCCGGGCCCTCAGGCACTGCCCAAGTTTCCAAATGGTCAGTCCGCCCCTGGTTCCCATAGCCAAGCAGCTGCATCCAAGCCTTAAATCACAAAGTGCAATGCAAAGCATCGGATGCAGTGCTGTAAAACACACAAGACTCTAGAGCAGTGAAGATGTGTTCTCTGGAGTGACAAATCGCGCTTCTCTGGCAATCCGATGGACGTGTCTGGGTTTGGCAGTTGCCAGGAGAATGGTACTTGCCTGACTGCATTGTGCCAAGTGTAAAGTTTGGTGGAGGGAGGATTATGGCGTGGTGTTGTTTTTCAGGGCTTGGGCTTGGCCCCTTAATTCCAGTGAAGGGAACTCTTAAGGCATCAGTATATCAAGACATTTTGGACAATTTCATGCTCCCAACTTTGTAGGAACAGTTTGGGGATGGCCCCTTCCTGTTCCAACATGACTGCGCACCAGTGCACAAAGCAAGGTCCATAAAGACATGGATGAGTGAGTTTGGGGTGGAGTAACTTGACTGACCTCCACAGAGTCCTGACCTCAACCCAATAGAACACCTTTGGGATGAATTATAGCAGAGACTGAGTCAGGCCTTCTCGTCCAACATCAGTGCCTGACCTCACAAATGCACTTCTGGAAGAATGGTCAAACATTCCCATAGACACTCTCCTAAACCTTCTGGACAGCCTCCCCAGAAGAGTTGAAGCTGTTATAGCTGCAAAGGGTGGGTCAACCCAATATTGAACCCTACGGACTAAGACTGGGATGCCATTAAAATTAAAATGTGCGTGTAAAGAAAAGTGTCCCAATACATTTAGCAATATAGTGTGGATGGATGGATCGATAGATAGACAGTATATATGCAGTGCTGGCTGAGATGTGAGGCACAATTGGATCTCTGGCAGATCCCAGCATTAGAATGAAATGGTGAGCTGTGACCAATCTGTCATTGTTGCTGTCAGTCATATCATCAGTCCACCTGCGCAGACATCATCTGACAGCAGAGGTGCAGGTATTGTAGATGGTGAAGGGATGAGCTGTGTGCAGTGGGATCAGCTCTCTCTCTCTCTCCATCTCCCCGCCTTGTGCCCGGCACCAGCCCAGGGACACAGCCGGTGTGTGTGGCTCTTTAAGGCTGACTGCAGGCGAGGAGGGCCGGCCAGGTCTGGAGCACGTGCCAGGATGTTTTATTGCCGCTGTGGCTGAGGCTGGGCGGCTGGATGTGTGTGGGGAAGGGAGGGGGGGAGATGGTTTAGATTATGCCGGGAGAAGGCAAATAGCAGCTGCTGTCCCGAAGCCTGGGAAAACCACTCCCCCCACATGATGGATAAGGCTGATTGCAGACCGGGTGCGCCTCACTCTACGCTCTAGAGGTGGCGCTGGTGAGCTGAGCTTTAATGTAGAGCCTTGATACTGCTTTATTGAATACAATCATACTGTATGTATGGAAAAAGCAAGGGAAACTTTCCAGTCATTCTTTAACCACTTGCCCTCCAGAGGATTTACCCCCCTTCCTGACCACGCTACTTTTTGCAATACGGCACTGCGTTATTTTAACTGACAATTGTGCAGTCATGCAACGCTGCACCCAAATGAAATTTATATCCTTTTTTTTCACAAATATAGCTTTCTTTCAGTGGTATTTGATAGCCTCTGCGTTTTTATTTTGTGCACTATAAACAAAAAAGTAAAACAATTTTGAAAAGAAAAATATATGACTTTTTGCTGTTAAACATGTCCAGCAAAAAAAAATTAAAAAATCAAATTTCATAATAAATTTAGGCCAAAATGTATTCTGCTACATGTCTTTGCTAAAAAAAAAAAAAACCCAATACGTGTAAATTAATTGGTTTACGTGAACGTTATAGCGTCTACAAATGGCGGTATATATGCTGGAATTTGCTTTTTAATTTTTATACTAGTAATGGTGGCGATCAGCGACTTAGCAGGACTGCGTGACTGCGGGGGGCATTCTGACACTGGGGGGGGATTGAATAACTGCCACTGACATCCACAGCGACATTAATACAATGATCAGTGCTAATAAAAAGCACTGACACTGTACTAATGACACTGGAGAGGAAGGGGTTAACATCTGGGGTGATCAAAGGTTCAGCTGTGTGCTGTGTGTGTTTCACGTTATGTGCTGTGTGTGTTTTACATGATGTGCTGTGTGTGTTCTACTATGTAAGCATGCTGCTTTGTATTGCTCTGCTATGTAGAGCAATACAATGAAGCATGCTGGTGCTGACAGGGGAGAGATCTGTGTTGTTTACATACAGACCTCTCCCCTATCAGTGTTCCTTTTCATTAGCTGGGAAATCTCCGTCCGGGACCCGATGATCGACAGCTGTAGCTGCCAATGGCGGCACAGGTAGGGCAGTGCATGCGCGCCCCCTACAAAAAACCACGTATCTATATGTGATTTTGCTACAGGGCGGTTGGGAAGCAGTTAAATTGTGAATTGTTGGTGTCCATACAATTACAATGAGATGTTTTAGTAAAGAAAGCTGAACTTTGAAAGAGGCAATAATGAAGCCCTTAAAACCCAAGCAGTCACTCCTACAGAATAGTCAAGACACTGGCTGAGCTATCACTTTCTTGGAATTGGGGATATCTCCGAGCCATGAGGTTTTCTGTGCCTCATGCCTCTGTATTGGTGCCATGGGATTGACACTCAACCTCTCAGAATCAGTGCTCCAGCTATCCACTGTGAATTAGCCAGTAATGAATTTAAAAAAGGGTAATTACCCGGCCCAGCTCTGTACAAACATATAAAGATAATAACTAAAAAACAGTTCCTTTTATTAAAATATATCTCAGAGGCGGACTGACCATTTGGGAACACTGCCCGAGGGCCCGGGGTCAGTAGGGGGCCCCATGAGATGCACCTGGTACCTTTCATAGGCTTTTTTGGGTGTGGTTTGAGTGTGGGTGAGGACACAGGGGCCCCATGATTTCCTATTGCCCGGGGGCCTAATGAGTTGTCAGTCCGCCTCTGCTCAGAAAGCAATATTTTGCCCTCAATTATCTCTAAATGTTTTTACTCCGGTATTTGTAGCAATTCCAAGCTAATGTTGGCGGCTCAAGCAAACCACGTCTAAAGCACTTACGTCATTAAGGAAGGTAGTCTATGATTGCTACGCGTGTGTGCGTGCTTACATGACCTCAATGATGTGGCATTGTGCATTTTTAAAATGTGTAGCTGTCATTGACAAAGTAAGCCATCTCCATAGGTACTAATTAGTAGTTAGTGAGATAAGTTGATTGTGGAGGACATCTCATGTAAAGACAGATCTAGACAGCATCATCAAACTTTCTAAGTAATGGGCCAGTTTACTGTCCTTCAGACCTCAGGGGGGCCAGACCTTGGTGTGAGTGGGGGGAATAGTCTCCCATCCTTGGTGTCAGTAGGTGAGATAGTGTGTGGTATCAGTAGGATGAACAGTGCCTCAAGGGTCAGATAAGGGCAAGCAAAGGTCCGCAGTTTGGAGACCACTGGGCTAGACCAAGCTCTATATTGTGTTTTTTTTAGTTATTATGGATAGCAGATGTATAGATCCATAGATTGTAGCATGTTGTTTTTTAAAGCTGAAGTTTAGTTATGGGTTTTATTATGTAGTTACATTTGCTCATCTTGGATTAATTTAAGTAAAATGCAACGTAAGTCACAGGTCACACCGCTGCAATTTAAAATTGCACGATTTGTGTACAATTTCAATATGATTTTAAATGCGATTTTGTTAAGATTTTATTGCTGTTTGCTAAGATTTTCAATGATTTCTTGCAATACGATTTCTAATACATGTTCGTGAAATTGCAACGAAACTGCAAAAAAAGTAATGCAAGAAGTACTTTAGAAAGCACACTGCAGCAAATCGCACACATTAAGACACTGACATTCACATTCATTAGATGTGATTTTAGGTGTGATTTCAATTCCCAAATTGCACCTGAAATCATACCGGTATGACCGGGCACTAACTGGCTGTTTCTTGTGGAAGCTGGAAATCACTGTAGTAACCACCATTACTACAGTGATCACTGCTGTCTTCTGGATATGAACCAAACCGAGTGGCTGCCCTGCTGCTTAGTAATTACAGAAGGTCGCTTACTTGGCATGGGTGCCATTCACAGAATGCCTTGCTTTTTTTTTTTTTATCAATGAATGCTAAGCATTCAATAATTGGACGAGGTAAAGATTGTGATCTCACCACCCATCCTCTCTACCTCAGCTAATCGGAGGACATTTTGGATTCAGTAAGAAAAATGCATGTGTTTTGTGAATGGAAGACCCAGAAGACAGCAGCGATCACTGTAATAGCAGCGATTCTCTGCTTCCACAATGATCACTCAAGCATGGCATATGCATTCTTACATTGGTTCAAGCTGGACCAATGTAACTATACAACAAAATCTATACCAATTTTTTTAGATGCTAAGTGTTAAAAGAAAAAAACTTTTTGTAGCTACTGTAACATAATACATAAGGCTGAAAATTGGAAATATTTACTGTACTCAGCTTAGATAAACTTGAACTCCAGATAAAGAAAAAAATCCTCCCTTGCATTTGGGAGAATTTTTCTTTTCCCCAAAGATTTAAAACCTTTGCATTGAGAGGCTCGGAGTTTAATTTTGTTGTTGAGCCAGCCATTGTTATCTATAGAAAATAAAGAACAACATAGCTATGCTCTTTGTAGCTTTCATTAAAAAAAATGTTATATATCAAAAAAATTAAAGGAACACTTTTTAATCAGAGTATAGCATCAAGTCAATTAAACTCCTGGGATATTGATTTGGTCAGTTAAGTAGCAGAGGGGGTTGTTAATCAGTTTCAGCTGCTTTGGTGTTAATGAAATTGACAGATGCACTAGATGGGCAACAATGAGACGATCCCCAAAACAGAAATGGTTTTACAGGTGGAGGCCAATTACATTTTTTTCTTTTCTGACTGTTTTGCATTTGGCTAGGGTCAGTGTCACTACTGGTAACATGAGGCAATACCTGGATCCTACAGAGGTTACACAGACAGTCCAATTCCTCCAGGATGACACATCAATATGTGCCATTGCCAGAAGGTTTGCTGTATCTCCCAGCACAGTCTCAAGAGCATGGAGGAGATTCCAGGAGGCAGGCAGTTACTCTAGGAGAGCTGGACAGGGCCGTAGAAGGTCCTTAACCCATCAGCATGACTGATATCTGCTCCTTTGTTTAAGGAGGAACAGGATGGGCACTGCCAGAGCCCTACAAAATGATCTCCAGCAGGCCACTGGTGTGAATGTCTCTGACCAAACAATCAGAAACAGACTTCATGAGGGTGGCCTCAGGGCTCGAAATCCTCTAATGGATCCTGTGCTCACTGCTTGGCACCATAGAGCTCGATTGGCATTTGCCATTGAACACCAGACGTGGCAAGTCCACCACCGGCGCCCTGTGCTTTTCACAGATGAGAGCAGGTTCACCCTGAGCACATGTGACAGACATGAAAGGGTCTGGAGAAGCCATGGAGAACGTTATGCTGCCTGTAACATTGTTCAGCATGACTATTTTGGTAGTGGGTCAGTGATGGTCTGGGGAGGCATATCCATGGAGGGATGCACAGGCCTCTACAGGCTAGACAATGGCACCCTGAATGCCAGTAGGAATTGGGATGAAATCTTTTGACCCATTGTCAGACCCTGGTTTCCCATTGGTGCACGACAATGCCGGGCCTCATGTGGTGAGAGTATGCAGGCAGTTCCTGGAGGATGACGGGATTGATACCATTGAATGGCCCCCCATACTCGTCTGACCTAAATCCAATAGAAAACCTCTGATATCATGTTTTGGTCCATTCAACGTCGCCAGGTTGCACCTCAGACTGTCCAGGAGCTCAGTGATGCCCTGGTCCAGATCTGGAAGGAAATACCTCAGGACACCATCCCTTGTCTCATTAGGAACATGCCGCAATATAGTCAGGCATGCATACAAGCACATGGGGGGTCATACAAACTATTTTGAGTTGCTGCAATGAAATTTCAGCAAAATGGACTAGCCTGCTGCATCATTTTTTCACTTTGATTTTCCGGGTGTCTTTGAATGCAATCCCCGGTAGGTTGTTAATTTTCATTTCCATCAAACTATGGGGCATCTTTACGTTCCTAACACATTGCCCAGCCCATATCAGTATAGATATTTTTCCCCATTGAGATCTGATGGGTTCTATATAAAATTTGCATTAAGGAGATCACCTACAAAAACTGTTATTATGCAAAATGCCAGGCACACTTACAGGCTTCATGATCCAAAATGCAGAATATCAATGGAATGAGAGAACATTGAACAAAAGTGGATGGGATTAAGTAATGATCAATGAAGAACAAAGCCTTCACCTGCCTTTGTCAGCCTTGTGTATGTGTTAACAAGAAGTAACAATGAATGTGTTATCACATAACAAGTACTTGTGATACCCATATACACTCTCTAATAGGGAAAATGACTTGAATGAACTCATTACTACAGTAAATGACCCAGCTCACCAGACTAAGTAATTAGATTTACAGAATCAAATCCTTGTAGCTTCTTGTTGACTGTATTCTACAAATAAATATGAGTACTAAATAGCAGAGAATTTATGAGGATAGATGTCAGAGTTATCGCTGCTGAATTATTTGTGCAGATGCATTATTTGTGCAGGTCCAGGAAGCATGGTATTTCATAAATAAGTGTTGTCACAGTAAATGAGTCCTCTTTTTAATAATTTGCCTGTTCTGTATATATATATATATATATATATATATATATATATATAATCTCCTTATATACATGCAATGATTGTAGATTGCTAGATTGTAAACTCGAGACTCCTAGATTGTAAACTCGAAAGAGCAGGGCCCTCAATCCCCTCATGTTTTGCATTGTATTGGTATTGTTCTGTCACATGTTCTGTCCCCCTTTGTAATGTACAGCGCTGAGCGAACTATTGGCGCTTTATAAATACTGTATAATAATATAATAATAATAATGATATAAATATATATATATATATATATATATATATATATATCATGTAATAATTTAGTTGATACAATTTTTTTTGGCTAACACAGCTAGCAAATTCATAGTGTAACAGCATTCTGCAGATTTATCAGATTACAATTGATAGTGATATGTGTGTATATATCTTAATATTAAACAGAATTTATATAGTGCCAACGGTTTTTACAGAGCTTTACAAATTGAGAGTAAACATTACAGTTATAATTTGGTACAAGAGGAATCAGAGGACCCTGATAGTGTGTATATATATATATATATATATATATATATATATATATATATACTATGTATATGGGTGATTTACGAAAACTAGAGCACATGGTATCCAGTCAGCTTCTAACTCCAGCTTGATCAAAAAGGCTTTGACAATCAAATCTGGAAGCTGATTGGTTTCTATGCAGAACTGCACCAGATTTTGTACTCTTAAGTTTTAGTAAATCTCCCCTTATTTGCGATCATTCAGTATAGTAGGAATGAGAGCAGTGGTTCGCAGTATGTTTTGAGGTCTCGGATGCTAATCAGCAGGTGCAAGTGCCTATTTACAGGTATGCAAGCATGGTATATTTCATTTTCTGAAACCTGCACTAGAAAAAAACAGATGATGTCTTTGCTGAACTCCATCTGAAAATACTAATAGTTTGGCAGTCTATGCAAATTGAGATGCAAGTAGATCAAGAAAGTCACAGTGATGTCACAACTCCTCATCTGCACACTTGTTCTCAGTCATACTGAAGCCCCTGGATCAGCATAAGAGTCAGGAAACTAGTTCAAAAGAAGAGGTCAGCAATTGTAACTTATATATGTCCTCAATGCAGAATTGCTATAGTGTATACATTACATTGCAAATAAGCTGTCTGCATTTACATATCATAGTTTGCATTCAAAATATCACTAAAGCCAAATAGTTTTTTAAAATTTTGGATAGAGTAGAGGAGAATTATAACTGCTTTCAGTTTCCTTTCCAGCTTTTCAGTTGTCCAGTAAACCTAACAGGAAGGGAGAGGATAGGTTTACAAAGTGAGTGAAATCCCCTCTTTGACACTTGTCACAGGAACAATTATCCCCATTATAAGTTTTCCCCTCTATTCCTGTTCTGGTGGCAATTTAAATTTTTGAATTTACCCCTAACTTTCATTCCTGGTGACACTGGTGGTCAGGACAATGAAAGAGAAGGACATACACAGCAATAAAAACCTGACAAGGGTTCTAAACCCTTGCCACAACAGCTATACAGTATTTTAATACAGTTGATGTTTACTAGACACACTATTAATAAACCATCACAGCTGTTCTGTGTGCAGATCTAACACCCAAAATAAAGTGCAAAATAGTTTTTATCATAACAAATAACTAGTCTTTTTATTTATTATGTGAACTAAACCTATATTCTTGCATATGACAGTAGAGCAAGGATAGCTGGACCTATACGTGGAAAAGTGCCTGATTGCAGGAATTAACCAAATAGTGCTATCTTGCAAAATACAAATTCTACCTACTCAACAACAAAACTTTTTATTATCGTATTTCAGTATGTATTTGTTAATATATTAGGTATATATTTTAAAATAAAAATGGTTACAGGTTGAGTGGGTTGTTTTTCCAAAATCTTATTTCTCTGTGGGAAGGGGTCATGAGCCAGCACTTTGTTTGTCTATGAGTATTCTACTGTGGGTTACACTTCACCGGTCCTAGTGTCCGTTCACTTTCTGCCGAACCTTAGCTATGCATGTCAGGTGGGGAGATTTTTATTGTTGACTATTTTAAGGCATTTATCTTACTGTTTTTCATAATACTGCCATGGGAGGGTATTTTGTTACTGTCTTGATGGCTGTACTAACTGTTACAATCAGATACCTACATGTAAACATATCTGCATTGGTATGATGAACTACAGACCTACATCTCCTGGGGGTAGAATAGCCTTGATGTAGATTAAGCTACGTACCTAAAAAAAGGGGGATTTACAAAACCAGTTTTGATGGTATTTCCAAACCAATTGGAAGTATGAATAAAAAACCTAAAGTGAACAGGGGATCGCAGCCAAAGCACTTGTGGATAATATTCTAAGGCAGACTGCTGCTAGTATAAGACACATACCTCCAAAACACATGCAGAGGTGGTCTTAGCACAGATGACACTGAAACAGCCTTGGGACTGGCCATACCTCAAGGTTTGTGATGTCTGGTCTTGTTTTATTATTCTCATATGTGGCATTTACTTCCTAAACACCTGAAAAAAGGGGGAGATACAACTTATCCAGGCAGATTCCAACAAGCCTTTATGATGGGATTTGATAAGGAATTCCCCCCTGACTGTTGGAGACTGCTCCTTTTTCCAGTCAGGCTTGTTACCAGGATCTAACATCGGAAGGAGCTATAGTACTTCAGAGTGATTTAATAAAGAGCTCATTTTTCTGTTCTTTGAAAAAACAATGTATCAATGATCCAGTTGAATACAAGGGAATTCTGTCATTTAAAATTCCTCTGCTCATAACTGGATGTTAAGCATTACTTTTTTAGTAAACACATCTTACCCTGTACTGGGGCTTCTTGCAATAGGAATCCTGATGGTCTGACTTTCCAAAAAACACATGTAAATAGCTTTTGGATCCAAGACTGAAACATTGTGCACACTTTGTCCCTGCCACATTTTACTTTTAAACATTTTTCACTGCATTGGAACCTTGATCATTCTGACACATAAGAGTAATAAATCCCATCAGGCATTAACTATATCATTTAGAATATTCTTTCTCCTGGATTTACCATTCAGCAATATACATTCAAATTAAACAAGAACTGCATATCGGCATAATGCAGAGTCAGGAAAAGCAAGTCTGGTATAGACTGGGAATTAAAGAAGAAAAAAAACTAATATATATACACACACACACAGACTATATATAGATAAATTATAATATATGATGATACACAGTCATCACTCAAGTCAGATATCTTCAAAATAATACAATATGCAGTTTTATTAATTACAAGTAAAGCTTCCAGAATAGGAAGAAATGTATAAGAGCACATTTGTATGTCTTTGGCATCATAACAATTTCGTACACAAACGAAATATAAGTTGCAATCTTATTATACAACAGCGCATTCAATATGAATATCTGCTATTTACAAACATAATAGTGCATTCTCGCTACAAAATGAGGACTTCCTATTTGTAACTAATTGTCTTTCTAAATGAAAGTTGTCCGATACAGTCCTTGGTACAGTCCAGTTACCAGGGTCTCCATACAGAGTCTACATTGACTGATGGCATGATGGAAGGAGACATGGCAGCTGGCACTCCATTGCTCACACTGGAGTTTGTGTAGACAGGGATGACAGGTCCGTTGTGTGGGAAGGCTGGATTGGTGATAAGAAAGGCAAATTGTCCGTCTGAAGCTGGCACTAGCTGAAAGCCACCATAGACCTTGGCAGCCTCTACTGGCGGGCCACCCATCTTGCAAGGAACCCCACCCATGGGAGCGGGACTGCTCTGCGGGCCGCTTGCAGGAAGCTGGACCAACGGCTGGCCAAACGCAGGGTGAGAGTTGGCAGCAGCAGCCGGAATTTGGGGCTGGGCAGGGTAATTCATGGCATTGATCTGATTCATGCAGTTGGCTAGATGTCCCAGGAGTCGGGTCCGGACGTCGGTGTTGACTCCTTCACAAGTAGACAGGAATCGGGTGACTTCGTTCATGCACTCGCTGAATCCAGCTCTCTGTATTTGCCCAGAACAGTGGGGTCTGTGCTGAGAGCAGCTGTAAAGGAAAAAGGACACACAATGACATCACTGAAAACTAGACAGACCCACACTACAGGGTTAATGCCGTACACAACCTCACTAGAACTAGAAGTTTAGTAAATGCATAACTCAGGTTCATTAAAATATAAACTATATGTGCTCAAGTCACTTATCCACATCCTGTAGATCCTAGAGCTGGCTGAGGATCCCCTCCTCCCCCTCCCCCCAGCAGTAACATGAGCTCCACATAGACCGTGGGAAAGACAGGAGAGCCAGCCCAGTAGAATGCATCTGAATGCCAATCAAAAGAAGTCTGGAAGAGATCAGCCAGAAAGGGAAGGAGGAAGGGGGGCTGAAATACTCACCAGTCATCTGAACTCTCTGCAAGTTCCGGAGGTGCTTCACTGTCATCTCCAAAATATCAGCCTTCTCCAGCTTCGAGTGCCTGGAGCTCTGAAAAGCAAATCCCACATTTAATTCTCAGCTCAGCATGTCACATTATCAGCCAAGTGTTACAGAATGTACCAACTGTATGAACTAATACGAATATTTATCCCTAGTGCCTGACATAAGAGATAAATATTTGGCACCAGAGCAAGTCTTGTGGTATTAGGAATAATAATAACAAGTAATAATAATAACAAGTAATAATCGCTGTATAAGTAATAATAATAATGAAGAATTGCAGTGCAGTAGACAATGTAGTGTGGGTGTGTGCAGTCCAATGCAGTGAATGGCTAGGCACACTTACATCTTTCTTCAAGGCATCCAGAATGAGGGTTTTCAGTTGGCTCAGGCTCTCATTAATTCTGGCTCTTCTCCTTTTCTCCATGATGGGTTTGGATGACTGTAAACAAGAGGCACACAGTCAGTGTGATCATGGTTGGTACTTGTCTATGACCTGAGCCATGACATCTATATGATCATCATCATCATCATGCCTGTCCAGGCTCTATTTACCTTTCTGTGCTCAGAAGCAGTTTTGGGTTTATCCGGAGTAGATGTCATGCTGGCTGGGGTGGCAGCCACAGGGGAAGAAGAGTTTTTCTCCATCATGTCAGCTGGCATCTTGTGGATCCCCCCAATGTATTCCCAGGAGAAGCTGTAATAGTCCGCTATGTGTCAGAGCAAAGGGCAGGGATCCAGGAATAGAGCGCAGTGTCCGGAGAGATGAGTACAGCTCTGCCTCCGCCTGGCCGCCTGCCTGATCCTAGTCAGTGCCCTCCGCTTGGCTCCGGCTTTATATACCGCTCACAGCACGCGAATGCCGAGTGTGAAACTTCCAAACTTACTTTCCCACAGTAACTTTCAGCCAATGGAAGCCAGGCACACGCGTGGGCTGCAGCACGCCATTGGCTGCAGGGCGCGGACACAGGAGGCCAATGATAAGCCCTGGAGGGAGGGAAGGGCGTGGTTCTGATAGCAGGCTGTCAATCAGTGGAGACTTTTAACGCTTTGTGAGCAGTGTGCCAGTTTTTCCAAAGCTTCTTAGTGCAGCAGTGTGCATAGAATAAATATGGGGATTTATTTGGGAGGAAAAAAAAAAAAAAAATGCTTTTAATATCATTAGATGGTAGAGTAATATATAAAATTATATATATATATATATATATATAATTAAATATATATATATATATATGATTTGATCTTATTATATTATTATATTATACAGTATTTATAAAGCGCCAATAGTTCGCTCAGCGCTGTACATTAGTATTATTATACAGGATTTACAAGTGCAAGCAGTTTGTGCAACACATACACTGATTGATATAATACGTGTGTATTATATATATATACACTCAATTACACATTATATATATATTGATATAATACATGTGTGTGTATATATATATATATATATATATATATATATATATATATATATACACTTAATTACACATTATATATGTGTGTTTGTATATCTATATATAAAAAATATATCAGTATTAAACAGTGCGTGTATAAATATATATATTACAGTAATATACAGTGTGTGTATATATATATAAAAATATATCAGTATGAAACAGTGCGTGTATGAATATATATATTACAGTATTATACAGTGTGTATATATATATATATCAGTATTAAACAGTGCGTGTATGAATATATATATATTACAGTATTATACAGTGTGTATATATATATAAATATATCATATATATTAAACAGTGCGTGTATGAATATATATATATTACAGTATTATACAGTCAGGCGGTATAGCACTCTATAACAAGAGTACAGGAGGACAACATGATATGCTGCTTAAATCCTGTATAATAATAATATAATGTATGCAGCAATAGAGCAACAATGTCATCTTCTTATGACGTGGACATGGTCATTGTATGACATGGAGATGTCATAGAAGGTACTTACAAAACAACTACTGTGCACACCGATCAGCTCCTGATATGCCGATCATTCTGCTCCATCTGCAGAATACTGCCATGCTATGTATTTTTCAAACCTGTTAGCCAAATAATTGTTTGATCAAATAAATTAGTTTTATATTTGAATTGATATATTTATTTTACATCTTAATTGCATATTATTAGTATTATTATACAGGATTTACAAGTGCAAGCAGTTTGTGCAACACATACACTGATTGATATATATTTGCACTATATATGCAGTGCTGGCTGAGATGTGAGGCACAATTGGATCTCTGGCAGATCCCAGCATTAGAATGAAATGGTGAGCTGTGACCAATCTGTCATTGTTGCTGTCAGTCATATCATCAGTCCACCTGTGCAGACATCATCTGACAGCAGAGGTGTAGGTATTGTAGATGGTGAAGGGATGAGCTGTGTGCAGTGGGATCAGCTCTCTCTCTCTCTCTCCATCTCCCCGCCTTGTGCCCGGCACCAGCCCAGGGACACAGCCGGTGTGTGTGGCTCTTTAAGGCTGACTGCAGGCGAGGAGGGCCGGCCAGGTCTGGAGCACGTGCCAGGATGTTTTATTGCCGCTGTGGCTGAGGCTGGGCGGCTGGATGTGTGTGGGGAAGGGAGGGGGGGAGATGGTTTAGATTATGCCGGGAGAAGGCAAATAGCAGCTGCTGTCCCGAAGCCTGGGAAAACCACTCCCCCCACATGATGGATAAGGCTGATTGCAGACCGGGTGCACCTCACTTTACGCTCTAGAGGTGGCGCTGGTGAGCTGATTCCGTTGGTATCTGTCATGCTTCAATCATATATTGCTTGCTGGCGGCGACAATGTAAATCCTCGGTGTTTTTTGTAGCATGTCTGTCTATACAATGACAGTAAAATATTTAATTGAAAAAGTAAAAAAAAACGAACCCCAAGGACAGGTTTACAGTAATACGTAGTTCTAAGCACTGTAAGGGCTGTGCACAGTACAGCTCACAAAAGCCACTTCTACAGACATTTGAGGTTTTTCCCTTCTGCCTCTAAACTCCTCTCTATGTTAGTCTATGTGTCCGTATACACTATAGGTGTTTTCAGGAGTCACATTCTGAAGAGAAGTTTTGAGCTTGAAAAACTCTGAAATGCTCATAAACACACCTATGCACTCATAAAACGCTCATAAATGCAGGGCTTTAAACATGTTCATTATCTTCAAATGTACATTGATTAGAGTGAAAAATGAACAGAGGTGAATGGTTTGGAAAAAATGTTCATGCCTCTTTCAGACGGAGCGGATCCATCTGCGTGATCTGCCTGTCAGCATTTGATCTCTCCATTGATCCCCGCTAAGCAGGCGGATGACAGGTCTCTGTTCTCTATGCTGCTGCAGCCCGCTGATTTCAATGGGGCGGTCGGATGGAAATGGACCGCCTGTCCATTCCCACCCAATTTTCTTCTGATCCAATCCACTGGACAGATGGGGAACGGATCCCCATTCATTTTTGGCATACAGGATCGGATTGGATGCCAGTGGGTGTCAGCGGACTATTGTTTGCTGACACCCACCGGTCCATAGAAGTCTATGGATGGGCCGATCGGGTCAGTCTGAAAGACCGACAGGCGGACCCCATCAGTCTGCCCGTGTGAAAGGGGCCTTAAAAGCAAATGCCCAGGAACTCTCATATATTCGTGTGCAATATGAGCCACTATAAGCATTTTCTTTGTGCATGGACCCTAATATGTGGTTCTATAGGGCAGTGCCTTCATTTGAGTGGACTGTAAATCACACCAAAGAAGTACTTCTTTCTCTAACAACTCAAGTAGTATATCTCCATGCAGTGGTGTATTTAGGTTTTGTACTGCCCTAGGCAACACAAAAATCGTCTGCCCCCACGGACACCAACCAACACAACCCCCCCTTCCCCCCTCCCACGGAAAGAGCCTGCCATTGACCAACAACACCCCCTGCCCCCAACCCGGGAGAGCCTTCCACTACCCCCCGCGGCGATAGAGAGACACTCATCTTCACAGCTCCGGAGATCCCCAGGAACGTGAGGCAGGCTCTACATACACCATCAAGCAGCCCCCAGCCTCTCTCGGATCCCACCTGGTTCCCATGGTTGCATGGCCCTTCTTTCATCCCTTCTTCTTGAGGGAGGTGCTGCCCCCCTGAAAAATGCTGCCCTAGGCAAGTGCCTTGTGGTAAATACGTCCCTGTCTCCGTGTACTGTGCTATGCTGCTACACACATACTGTATGTTGGTAAGGTGCATCAACGCAATTAAGAATAAATGGCACTAGAACACATCACAGTGCAACACATAATACACGCACTACTGCTGTGCATAGATGTAAATGGAGCCCTAGGACTCTAAACGCATGTATGTCATTGCCAGTGTGACTGAGTCCTAGGGCTGCATTCACATGTATGCACAGCAGTATTGCACACATACTGTATAAATGCATGGAATGACCTGGTATAACTCACACTGAGTTTTAGATGTACTCAGTTTAGTTATGTTGTGTAAACATTCCTAAACATGTACACACAAATACATTTAAATGCAGGAGAACTTGAGCTGGGAATCTGTTTTTAACCCCTCTCTGCCAGCTGGAGCTGACCCTTTAAGGGACCTTAATGCCAAAGCACTTACTGGTCTTTATAATCATAAGATCACTGTGATTGGCAGTTGTGTGCCCCCAGCAATATAAACTGTCAGCTCCCGCTCACTGTTTACAATTGGGAGTTGGTACGAGCTCTTCCTATCAACTCCCAATCGTAAACAGTGAGCGGGAGCTGACGGTTTACATTGCTGGAGGCACACAATTGAGCATGCACCTAGAAACAGAACGATGACAGCTGTATACAGCGTTAAAGCCCACCACCATGTTGCCACATATAAGGGTGGGCCTTAAAGTGTTCCTAAACCCAGGACCCTGCATTCACTATATTTGGTCTCCCACAGTACACAGAACAGAAGTGCAATTATTTTAGTAAACACAAACTGCTAAATACTTTTTCTCATCAGCAGTATATAGCAATCTTGTGACTTCTATAAGTGTCCAGCAGTGCACTGGTTAAAGCTTGTAGGAGGAATTTTTATTCTGCTCCAGGAGGATGCAGAACCCCAACCTCAGTCAAGACAGTGCTGATTGTGAGGAATCTCTAGATTTATAGAGTTAGGACCACAGAATATCAGGGTGCCGAGATGTGGCTCTGTGGCTCACGTATGTATTTGCAAATGTGTGCTAACTAAACCCCTGTTTTTAAACGACCATGTTCTTAGACAGGTTAATTTGGTTTTTGATAGTTGGCTAACTGGCTGGCAGTTTGAACTGGCTTTCTTATCCCCCTCTTTTGATAAGTTATACTTATCCATGTTCCTTGCCGACAATAGCCATTATTAGACTGGGGTAGGCTGGCAAGTTGAACTGGATAGTTCTATTTTTTACTTTGTGACGCCTTCCATGTTCACTGTTTAAAAAGCCAGTTATAGACCTGGGTAGGTGACCAGTTTTTTTCTTTTTTCTTTTTTTTCTTTACAGTGCTGATTGGCCCTGTGCTGAGCACATGCACTCTCCAGGGGAAAAAAAACAACCTCTCTAGAAATACACACCAAATTGAGCATGTGCACAGTGACTCCACACAATATGACTTATCAGGGACACTTGACGGGGAAGATTACATAAGTC